TATAGTACATAATAAATGAAGCTGCCATAATACATTTTTATCATTTTTTTTTATCATGAAAGAAAGTAAACACTTCACCTAACTAAACTCCTTTGAGGTAATCACTGTTAAGAGTAGTGTACGCTCCTCCAGATATTGTACCATTCTTACTTACCATCAGTCAGCTCTGATCGGCACTATCATGGCATGTTATCTTTTAGCATCACTAAAGCAAAAGGAGGCACAAAATAACTAAGTCATTTTCTCAAGGTTTCATAGCTAGACTGAGAAGTGGGTGTTGTAGTGTGCCTCCAGAATCGGTGTTCGTTATTTTATACGAAAGAGTGTTTTTCCTGCATGCATGTCTGTGCACCATTTGTGTGTCTGCTACCCACAGAGGCCAGAAGAGGACATTGGATTCCCTGGAATTGCAGTTAGGGATAATAATGGTGAGCCATCGTATGGATGCTGGGAATTGAACCTCTGAAAAGCAACAATTGGTTTAAACCACTGAGCCATCTCTTGAGCCCTGTCTTATAACTTTTTAAGCCTAACAATACATTTTACTTAAGTTTCATTTCATGACAGTATGTAATTATCCTCTGTGATCTATGATATCTGACTGTATTTAAGGCATTTCCTATTGAGACAGGAAATGTTCATAGCTTAATGCTTAGCAGTCTTTTAGTGAACATTTGGAATCTGTTAGAAATGTTTTGTATCTTGCCCATTGTGCTGGCTCATGCCTGTAATCCCAGCACTTAGGAGGCTGAGGCAGAAGAATCTGAACTAGAGACCAGCCTGAACTACATGAGTACCTTGAAGAGACTCTACCTGGCACGAACATGGCAAACATGGTACTGGCAGGCCTTGCCCTTTTGCATTCCTTTTGCCTTGCTAAAAACCATTAGATTAATTCTTAAAGCTAATCACCAAAGTCTGTTCCCTTATTTGGCCACTTCCTCCTCCTGAGGCTGACACCAAGGTCCAGCTATCAAAGTATTTAAGTCCAATAATCAAAAGCCCCCTTTGGTTCATCTAATTAGCATGCCATTAAAATTAAACACCCTTTACATTTATAAACCACCATTTACCTATGTGTTGTCTCTGTCTCCTCTCTATCCACAGGCCTCTCCCTTGTTCCCTTTCATTTCTCCCTTGTCCTCTATCTCCTATCTTTGTCTCTTATTCCCTGCCCCTCTGTCCCTCTGGGGCAAATAAATCTCCTTTGTGCTGAGAACTTGGTTTTGGGGTGTCCTGAGCTGATACTGATCCTTTCAACCTTGACTCAGAAAACTAAAACACAAAAAAGATGTTTTCTATCTTATAAACAAAATACCATGTATTAGTCATGTATTTCCACAAAGCTAGCAGCTAAAAAGTGACATAATAGTGACATTATGCAGCCACTAATGATTTGGTCTTAAAGATGGTTTTGTTTGTTTGTTTGTTTGTTTGCTTGTTTTGCTTTTAAATAAAATGCATGAACTAAGATGCTAATCTATTAAGTAGCTTGGATTAAGACTTTCAACATGTTTTCATTTATAAAGTGGAGCCTTTTGCTAGAGTAAGTGTCAGCTATAAAGTATAGGATAATAAGAAAAGTTTAATTTAAAAGATTTGGCTCCTTCCAAAAAGAACTTTCACACATTCATGTTGAATTAAATGAGAACCTGAAAACAACAAAGTGTTTGGTCTCTTTGGACTTTTCTTTTGTTAAATTAATTAATGGATTACTTGGTGTCTCTTATAGCTCAGGATAGCCTCAAACTCAATGTACTGTTGAGGGTGTTCTTGAACTCTTGATCTTGTTGCCCTCACCTCTAAGTATTGGAATTACACACTTGCCTCACAACTTCTTTGTGCATTTAAAAACTTAATCAAGTTAAGTAACTGGGTGTGGTGGCGCATGCCTTTAATCCTAACATCAGGGAGGCAGAGGCAGGCACGTCTCCTGAGTTCAAGGCCGGCCTGGTCTACATTGCAAGTTCCAGACCAGCCAGCACTGCATAGTGAGACTCTGCCTGTCCCATACCCCCAAAATGTTAGGGCCTGGAGAAATGGATCAGTTGTTAAGGAGGCTCACAACTGCCCATAATTCCAATCCAGGGAATACATTGCGGGGTTTTCTGACCTCCATGGGCATTGACTACAAATGCTGCATTAACATACATGCAGGTAAAACACTCACATATATAAAGTGAAAATAAATCATTTAAAATTAATCAAATTAGTAATTTGGGAGCAATTAGAGAAGTAAGCTGTATGGTATATACCTAAAACCCACCACTCAGGAGGCTGAGGCAGGAGGATTGTGAGTATCAGAGCAGCTTGCCCTACATAATGAGACCATGTCTCAAAAATACCAAAAGCTGGGGATGTAGCTCAATTTTAAAGCACTTACCTAGCTAGCATTTGTAAGACTTTCAGTTTGGCTCCTAGCAGCACCACCAAAAGAAACCACTACCCAGACAGAAAGAAAATTCTGTATGGTTATTTTTTTCCTTCCTTCCTTCCTTCCTTCCTTTCTTTCTTTCTTTCTTTTTTTTTCCCCCAGGGTTTCTCTGTGTAACTTTGTTGACCAGGCTGGCCTTGAATACACAGAGATCTGCCTGCCTCTGCCTCCCAGATCCTGGGATTAAAGCATGTGCCACTACCACCCAGCCTGTATGGTTTATTTTAAAACTTGAAATGAGTGAACATTCTTGGAAGATTTTTGGAGTGCAGCAAACACATTTGGATTGCCTTAGATTCTAATACTCTTCCTCTCCTTGCATGTTTAGTTAATTCCATGTACCATGAAGCTTCCAGAAAGGCAGCCGGAGTTTTTCTTTTACTATTCTTTACTGGGAAATGATGTTACCAATGAGCCTTTCAATGATTTGATCAACCCAAACTTTGAGCCCGAGAGAGCATCTGTTCGCATACGTAGCAGTGTGGAGGTCCTGCGTGTGTACTTGGCTCTCCATTCTAAACTGCAGGTAAGTGCCTTAGCAAATTGTTTTCTACTAGAGATGCTTTTAAAGCATTGAATGTAAAGTTGAACTTTGTCTTAACCTGTATTGTGTTTCAGTTGTAGAGATCGTTTTGCCTTTTTGAATTTTTAGGTATTAAGGCATCAGGCCATTGGAATCGCAGTTACTTCAGAATGTTTGGAGTTAACACATTACCACCTAACTACTAAGAAAAGAGATAAATCGGTTATCAGTATTATGTAGCAAGAGGTAGTACTTAAAGCTAATTGAACCTGTGCCTACAGGCATGGTATTTGCATTATTTGTGGAGGTGGTAGCTGTCAGTACACAGATGGATTCTTCATGGCAGAATTTGAAGTTACTCTACTATATCTTATGGTGGTTAGCTTTGATCAAACAGTTGTTAGACTCTGCATTCAGGGCGGCTCATGAGAAGAGGCATTAAATGTTAGAGGTACTAAACCTTAAGGATGGCTCTGCTAAACCCAAGATATTTAGAAAACTGGAAACTGTATAAAACATGACAATTTGAGAAAAAGCACTTTCAGTTTTATTCTGTATCATATTCTTACCAAGAGCACTGACTTACCTGCTTCTAATGTCCACTCAAGTTATAAAGATGCTTTGTTTTGGTGCTGGAGACAGCTCAGTGGCTAAAAGTGTATACTGCCCTCACAGAGGACTAGAGTTTGTTTCTCAGCACTGGGCAGGCGGCTCACAGCTGCCTGTAACTCCAGCTCTAGAGATCCCATGTCTTCTAGACTGGGCATCTGTGCTCACATGTGTACACACACACACACTCATATACACATAATTTAGAATATAAAAAATAAATTTAAAAGGAAAATATTTTGTTTCTAGCATATGAAAAATATTGTACATAAGAGCTGGTGAGATTGCTCAGTGGGAAAGGCATTGCCTCAAAAGCCTGGGAACCAGTTAAATTCCCGGATCCTACGTAAAGGTAGAAGGAAAGAAGACTCCACAGACCTGTCCTCTGATCTCAACACTCATACCCACATATATATATCGCACATGTGTGTGTGGACACACACACACACTAACAGTCAATCAAATTTTAAAAAATATTTTACTCAGTAACATTAAGGCTCCATAATAGTCCAGTAATGACTTTTTTTCTAATCTTCTAAAGATGCTAGCCTAGGGCTGGAGAGATGGCTTGTGGCTAGAAGCATTTGCTTTACCACACAACCATGAAGACCCACATTTGGGTCTCAGCACCCATGTAATACATGCTGTTAGTGGTTTCACACCCTGTAATCTTGCACCATGGCAGTAGAGGCAGGATGATCACCTGGGCCTGCAGGCTGAAATCATGAGCTCCAGATTCAAGGAGAGACCATGCCTCAAAAGAATATGGTGGGAAGTGGTGAAGGTGGACACTCTCCTCTGGCTGTTGCACTTGTGTACCCACACAAAGCTGTGTTTACACCCCCCCCCCACATACACACAGAAGAAGTTACACCCACTAATATTAAGTCTTGAGTTATAGGCCAGTTACGGTTGCATACATCTGTATTCCAGCACTCAGGAGACAGAAGCAAGAGGATTACAGTTCAAGGCCAGCTTTGGATATATAGTGAGACACTGCCTCAAAACATTACTGTCTGTCTCTTAATTCTGTGACTGTTAATATAAGAGGAAAGTAAGATAGTGATTGTTCTGTAGTGTACAATCTCCCAAGGCTTGAACATAGTAAAGGAAAAAATAGTGATTTATGCGTGCATGGTGTCTTTAAGGGGTGGTGACGTTGAACTCTCACTTGGTTGTTGTTGACTACCTTAGTTTTCTTTCCCAGTAGTTTTCCTTCATCATTTTTTACTGTTTAACATTCTGCTTTATAAACAAAATTTGAAAGCAAAATGGAAAGGAAAGGAATGCTCAATATCTTTGATGAGTGAATAATACAAAATTTGTGGTCTTAAAATTCCAAATCTAGTTGAACCACTGCCTTTTTTTAAGAGCTGTGCTTAATTAAGATGACAGTGGAAGAAAAATGATTGAGATAGAAATGTACACTCATTTTATTACACAATTTGCATATCAGTGTATAGTAAAGTATTAAAATAAGCACTGCTCACTAATGAGAGTAAACATGGCTGATAACATCTGAATATTCCTTGGTGATTGAAGAAGTGAAAACGTTAATAACTGAGTCACTAGTAACCAGTGTTAACAGTCACTTGAGAAGTCATTTTGTGAAGGTCAGTGAGTTAGCCCACTTCCTACTTTCTTTCGGTGGCCTGTTTTAAAGTTTATGGTATTTAGGGGAAAGGGGGGAAATGTACTCTTAAGGAAAAGCACTCTTACAATTTTTCCTTCATGTTAGATCCATCTCTGCTGTGGAGACCAGTCACTTGGCAGCACAGAAATACCTTTAAATGGACTGCTGAAGAAGGGCAGTATAGAAATTAACCATCATCCAGTTACAGTCGAGGGGGCTTTTACCCTTGACCCTCCGAACCGAGCCAAGCAGAAACTCGCGCCTGTCCCTCTGGAGCTGGCCCCAACTGTGGGAGTGTCAGTGGCCCTGCAGAGAGAAGGCATCGATTCCCAGGCAGGTGGTGACTCTGCTTTCATTTGTCAGTTTCCCAATGTCACTCCTGATCCTTGAAACTCTGTAGAATTCCTTGGTGTACAAGGATTTTATTCTTCTTCACTGTGCCCTGCATTTTACCTTACCTTCTTTCAGAAAGCACAGTGACTCTGCTTGGCAGTTTGGTGACTGTATGTGAGGCCTTGGCCTTTGAGACTGTCTTCTGTAGTGGGAACCATGTTTTCCTGCTCCTAGCTTGTAGCTATTTACTGTGTCAAAAAGGCAACTGGTACGGGAGGATGTGTGCTTTGGAGTCTACAGTGGTGCTTATTTTTTGCTGGACACAGCCCCAGCCAAAGCATGATCCTTGACACTTCCATGCTTTGTTCTTTCCTTGTCTTTTTTTTCTTTTCTTTCTTATTTTAAATTTACCCGAATGCACTTTATTGTGTCTACCTGTATAAACAACTCAACTATCATCTTCTTCTTTCAAAGAATTTATATGTAGGCTACAAATTAAAGATAAGAAAACTGAAATGAGAGTTTAAAAAGTGTGCACATGTAAAGAGGAGGGCGGAGAGGGAGTGGAACAAAGGAGTGGAAGAATGTCACCCCAGATATCTGGGTTTGCTGCCATTTTACTGTGTTGGTAGGAATAACTTCCCAGGGTCACATGGCAGGCCTCTTTTCTCAAATACCCTTTCTTAGCCATTAGGGTGCATTTTGGTACACAGCTCTGGATATTATGTTTCCTTTCTGTTCATCTCCCTTTTTCTGGTCCTAGATGCTTTAAGGAAATTTGCAAATTATGAAGAAAAATAGACTAGGAATGTCCAGACTGGGAAAGGAAGCATGTACTTTTTAAAAAAAGCAACGCCAAGTTTTTTGCTTAATTATGAAGGAAAGTATTTTGCAAATTACACTTTACTTTTAAAAATTGTTTTTAGTCTTTAATTGAATTAAAGACCCAGAATGGACATGAGCCTGAGCATTCAAAGAAGAGAGTTTTAACTCCCATAAAGGAGACGACACTCACTGGGCCAAAATCTCCAAGTGTGTCCCCCATCCCACCTCACAACCAGACACCTCCGACCAAAGATGATGCAACAGAAAGTGAAGTGGAGAGCCTGCAGTATGATAAGGAGCCAAAACAAAATGCAAAGGGTAAGATGTGCTTTTCCCACATACTGAGGTTCTGGGATCTGCAGTCATTTAATAAATATCTGAGAACATTCATGGGTGGCAGAACTGCATTTGGGAATCAAAAATGTGTGGAGGTATAAAATTTCCAATTTAATGCCACTTCAGCCTACTAAACTTTTAAATAAGGGTTTGCTAAATCTCTACTCTTATATTGTCAATAGTTTGTTCCAAAGAAATGAAAGATATATATCTCTTGAGTAGATATTTTTTTATTCTGAAATTTTAGAGAATAGTAAGTTTTGTAATAAGAGAGTTTGAGACTGTATCTAGTTTTTTTTCTTAGATTTATTTGATTTCTAGTTATGTGTAGTTGTTTATGTATGTGTGTGTACATGAGTGTAGGTGCCCATAGAGGTCAGAGGCATCACATCCTCCAAGAGTTACAGGCACTTGTCAGTGGGTACTGGGAATGGAACTTTGATCTGCAAAAGCAGTATGTGCTCTTAATCATCACTGAGCTCTCTCTCCATCCCAATATATCTGCTTTCACAAAAATGTTCCATCCATTGCTAAGGCTCTACAGTTATAACCAGTGGTATAAGCAGGCAGTGTGGAGTAGGAGTTAAATGTCTGGAGTGTAAGTTCACCTCCATCACAGAATAACTATATGACTTAGTCACTCATTAAGCATCTCTGGTCCACAAGGATTGGCCTACATGTATCTCTTGTCTTTCTAAGATGTAACTTTTATTGACCTATTTTATACATTCAAATAATTCCAATTAGTTTATAAAAATGCTAAAATTATCTGTACAGTAAATTGTAAGTCTAGCCTTTCAGGTGATCATCCATGCATGGATACCTCTTAGAACCAAGTCACTACCTGACTGGCTTTGGTCAGATGTTGTTGCTTCAGTTCTATTTGTTTTGAGGTTTTACAGTATGTGTGGAGAGTAACTTTGCTCCCACTGTGAAACCCAAGTTGACCTTAAACTTGTGATTCTCCTGCCTCAGCCCTTAAGGCTGGAATTCTAGGAGTGTCATACCATGCCTTACACCAAACTCTTTCTTTGTGTAGTTCTAGAATAAAAATTAGGCAATGTAGAACAAACCACTTTTTAAAATGCTCATGATAGACTCATTCACAAGCAGACCTGTCAAATTCTGTGATTGAGGGATTATAAGATGACAGCTTTAATTTTTCCTTTACTGTTTACTTTAGGCATTAGCTTCATCCCTGCGTCACTGACCCAGCCAGTGGCAACCTCCAATGCATCAGAAGTGGTGACATCAGGACAGAAGATTGCTGTTCCAGCAACATCACATCACTTCTGCTTTTCAATAGATTTAAGAAGCATCCATGGCTTGGAAATTAGCTTTCCAGTCAACTGCATATTGAGGTATGGTTTGATTTTGTTCTGGGAAAATGCCTTTGTCTTTAAGGTGGTGCAGAGAAACATTACCAGAGAAAATGTAGCTGCCATGAAGCCAGAGGCCTGAAAGGCAGTAAAGTATCCTAATGTCTGATTGGAACCAGAGTGGCTCCGGGAGTAGGGACTTACATATTCTGGTGTAATAGTTATAGGCATTTATAATCATTTATTGATGCTGTCATTTAACATGTAATTTTGGTTGCTTGTTTTCTGGAGAGGCACTACAGGTCAAATTGTGGTTTTTAATCTGATTTTTCTGTAAGACTGTATTACAGTGGGTGGGCTAGAGGGGAGGTGAGAGAGGGTGTGAGGAGTTTGGGGGTGTGGGAAGAGGGGTGGGAGGGAGAACAGTGATTGGAATGTAAAATGAAATCAAAAAACAAAAACTGGGGGAAAAAAAGACTGTCTTACAATGGATGCTATATTTCTAACACCTGCATCCTATAGCTGAGAATATAAAAACCATGTTTAATGAACTTGAAATGAAATGTGCCCTGTTCAGTAGAAAGAATTACTGTTTATAATCAGTTAAATGGCTTTATACAACAGACTATTTTAAGGTTGCATGTTTGTAGACATTGCAAATTGTAATAGAAGTTAAATGTATACAATGCTGTGACTGGAGGCATATTGAGTTCAGCTTCAGAAATCAAGCTAAATTTGATTTCTGAAGTTAAAATCAAGTGTGATTTTTTTCATTTGATTTTTTAAAGTTGTTTCTGCATCTTCCATACTTGGGTATGAATGATGCATAGAAGCAGAGACCCAGCACTGGGTGTGGTCATGAAGTTATTGAATGAGTCTTCCACCTCTCCTCAGTTCTGTAGTTGACATACAGAATGCTTGGGGTTATTACTAGGATGTGCCTATTGAGACACAGAAGAATGCCAAAAGATTGTCTCATGAAAACAGCTTTTCTGGAAGGGTTTGTTTCCTCTATTTTAAAATAGAATTATTACTTAACATGTTTTCTTTACTGTTTGTTTTTTTTTTTTGTCTTTTTTTTACCCCCTTTGCTGCCTTAAGATCTTTGTTGCTGCAGCAGAGTATGGTCTTAGTACACACAAAGAGGATGCAGGCCAGGAGCATGGAAATAGGTACAGCCTTAGATTAGATGCTATGAGAGGGAGCCTTAAACAGTCACGAGGCAGGGGCAGGTGGATCTCTGTGAATTTGAGACCAGCCTGGTCTACAAGAGCTAGTTCTAGGACAGCCTCCAAAGCCACAGAGAAACCCTGTCTTGAACCACCCCCCCCAAAAAAAAAAACCTGCACTAATATATATTTTACCATCAAGACCATTTGTTTAATGGTTAACTGGCCACATTATATCACTGATGTACCTGGTATTACGGTACATAAGAGAAATTAATCAATTTAGGAGGATGACAGATTTAGAAATTAACCAGTACATGAAGATAATAGCAATTCATTTGGTGAAGAAAGAGGGAAATAATATTCTAAACAGGAAACACTTGATCATGATATATTTGGCACTTGACATAGAGTTACCAGATGCTGGATTGATGTTTGGTTCATTGAAAGCACCTTTTAGAGTGGTGATGATTAATTTGTTCAGTAGACAAGTTTATATCATTATACTCTACATATGCAACTGTGTAATAGAATTTGTAAGGTAAAACTTGTGTTTAAAAATAAGTGGCACCTGCAGGTCTATATGGATATTTCTCTTCTAATTACCAAATGCGATAGTGGAATAGTAGGAGTTGAAATTGTAGATTGAGATAACTTGCTTCAGTGGGTCAGTAGTTATATATGATTGGGGTGATATATAGGATATAGTATTGTAGGAAAAGCAGTTTTTTACTAGTTGAGTTTAGATTTGATTAGTTTCATATATGAATAACAAGATGAAATAAAGAATAGCAGGATGAAATTTAAGCAAGCATTACAATGTCTGTAAATTTGTGTTTAAATTCAAAGAAGATCTAAAGCAGCTAGGCTTCTTATTTAATCTCATGTGGTTTGTATGATGAAAAGAAGTTGTGTGTGTCACTTATTGGATATGTACAGAATAGATTTGATCTCTTTTACCTTGAGTCTTTGTTCAAAGACAGAGTACTATGAACGTGTTCTTTTGGCATTGCCAAAGGGCAGCAGTTCTATATCAGATACTTACATTACGATTCATTAAGAGCAAAATTACAGTTATTAAGTTATCAACAAAAATAATTTTATGGTTGGGGGGTCACCACAACATGAGGAGCTGTATTAAAGGGTCAAAGCATTGGGAAGGTTGAGAACCACTGGCCTAAGGGCATTTTAGCCCATAAATAACAGGTCATTATAATACAAAAGAAGATTGGACAATAATTCTGTATATCAAGCATTTCTTGAGTGCCTACTATATGGCAGAAATTGCTTGTTTCTAGGAATGCTAAGGTAAAATGGATATGCTTTAAATAAGATACAGGCCAGTATTCCTATTTTATCTTAAATATTGTGTTTGCTCATAATGTATGCTTTAAAAACATCTGGCCTTCATGTCATCTATAGACTATACCATGAGACTTTGTGTTTCCTACATTCTAGGTACTCCTACCCATTCTTTGGCAGCGCGGCTCCTATTATGACTAACCCTCCTGTAGAAGTTCGGAAAAACATGGAAGTTTTTCTTCCCCAGTCTTACTGTGCATTTGATTTTGCAACTATGCCTCACCAGCTGCAAGACACCTTCCTACGGTAAGCTTTACACCCTTGCAAATGACATGCCTTCATGGCATGAATTTATACATATTTAAACCTACAGTAGTGCCTGCACTTGAGAATCAAGAAATTAGTTTACTGATGTCAGCAACATCTCTCCTGTTGCAGAGCTTAACATGGTTTATTGTAAGTCCCAGCTTAAGTGTTACAAGTGTTTGCGGTAATTTGAGGAATGAGAGAGCCTCGAAGGGAGCAAGAATATTTAGGTTTGATCCTTGAGCCAACAAATGTAGTCTATTTTCTTCATTTTCATTTTAGTTACGGGAAATAGATTTTTCAAGGAACGTTGGGCCTATGAAATGTGCTTTTCTCAGAGTATTATAGCCCAGATTTACATGTTCTTAAAGGAGAATGAGGGTTAGCTCCAGATTCTGTAATGACTTATGCGAATAACAGTGTTCAAAGAGTTTTCTTTATTGCTAGGAGATACAAACACAAGTATTTGTTCTCCAGAAGCTGAGCCTTTAACCATTGTGTTGAATAACTTTCCAGGTAGCAAACATCTAACTAACTATAGGAAGGCATTCAAAGACTGCTGTTTGGAAAGGACCGCTTCAGAGCTGACAATGTGGACATGGTTTCTCTCCTTAGGATCCCACTGCTGGTTGAACTGTGGCACAAGGATAAAATGAGTAAGGACCTACTCCTTGGGATTGCAAGAGTCCAGCTTTCTAACTTCCTGTCTGCAGAAAAGACCCGGTTTCTGGGTGCTAATGGTGAACATTGTTGGCGGCAGACTTACAGCGAGAGTGTGCCTGTTATGGCAGCACAGGGGTAAGCCTTGCATAGCACTATTTCACTTTTTCCCTCATTCTTTTGATGAATCTGGCTAAGAAACTACCCCTTTAGTCCCTTGTGTCTTCTTTCTGTCTGCTTTTCTTTGACTTGGGGATGAGTTTCTTGTAGTTGGCTTATTAGCTTTTTGATGACTATTTAATTAGAAAAGTGTAAGAATTTTTGTGGCTATATCATGATTCTTATTTATAGACCTTAGTGGTGATCCTTTTCACCCTTAGCCTGAGAATTGTAAATTTTATTTATATTTTGTGAGAGAAAAGGAGTATGAGGGTGTCTGTGTGTGTATGTGTGTGTTCTCTCCTGCCACCTGTGAGATATGAGAATTGAACTCTGTAAATAGTTCTTAGGGTCTAGATAATAGAGTCACATATAGAGGGAAATGCTGAGAGATCAGAGAGAAGGAGCAAGCCACAGCACACCTTACCTCCTTAGTATCTCAGCAGATAACAGAGCGATTTCTTGTTTTTCTGTGCTTATATCCTGTTTCTACCCAGCTACCTCACTTCCTGTCTGTGCAGACCTCCAGACCTCTATGGTTAGCTAGTGGCAGGCTCCATTCTATGACCCTCAGACAGGCTTTATTTGTAAAAGCAAGATATCACCACAGAACTCAGTTTGTCAGACCTATGTATGCCCTTTCTAAACCATCTCATTGTCCCTAGCCTTTGTATGTGTGTGGGTCTGATTATATGTCTGTGTACCACATGTGGAGACCAGAAGACAGCCATCAGATTCTTTGGAGTTAGAGTTACAGACCCCGGTGAGATACCTGATCTGGGTACTGGGAACCAAACTTGGGTATTGCAAGAGTAGCAAGTTCTCTTGACAGTTGACCCATCTCTCCAGCCCTTAGCTTGATGGTTTTAAAAAGGAGCTGTTAATTATTATGGTCTTGGCTTTTGTTTTACTTCCAATGCTGGGGTGTTGTCCAGGGCTTTGTGCACATTGAGCTGGGTCTCAATCTGCAGAGCTCTGGACCAGAGTTTAGTATCTACCATTTGATCTCATTATTTTAAGTTTATATTTTGTGTTGTTTTTTTATTAAGAATGCTGTGATCTTTTTTGTTGTCGTCATTACATAACATGTTTATTGCACTTTGTGGAAATTAACTGTAAAACAAAAAAGTCACAATTATGCTAAGTTTTATAATATCCTTGAGATAAAAACAATGCAGCAAGTCTACTCCTCAGCTGTGTTTTTTTCCACTTGAAAAATATTTTAAAATTTGCCTGAAATTTAAAGCCTGAGAATGATATAAATACTAGTTTTCCATAAGTTTTTTTAAAATATTTTTTTCAATTTGCTCAGGGGATCTTGACCCTTTCCCTTTCTCCAGGGGACCATGTATGTCTCTCTTAGGGTCCTCCTTGCTTACTAGCTTCTCTGGCAGTGTCGATTGTAGGCTGGTAATCCTTTACTCTATGTCTAAAATCTACATATGAGTGAGTACATATGATGTTTATCTTTTTGTGATTGGGTTACCTCGCTCAGAATGGTTTCTTCTAGTTCCATCCATTTTCCTGCAAATTTCAAGATTCCATTTTTTTTTCCCCGCTGAGTAGTACTCCATTGTGTACATTTTCTCTGTCCATTCTTCATTTGAGGGTCATCTAGGCTGCTTCCAGTTTCTGGCTATTACAAATAGTGCTGCTATGAACATCGTTGAACAGATGTCCTTGTTGTATGAGTGTGCTTCTTTTGGGTGTATGCCTAAGAGTGGAATTGCTGGATCTTGTGGTAGACTGATTCCCATTTTCTTGAGGAGTCACCATTCAGTAACAGTTTTTAAGTTATATTATCACTCATGGCTTGGGATATAGCAGTGATAAAACACTTGTCTGGCACACACCGATCCCTGGGTTCAGGCACCAGCACCTACAAGAGAATAACAAGAGTGCTCTGATTGGTGTTGTCAACTTCACATGACCTAGAGCCATCATGGAAGAAGGACTCTGAAATGAAGAATTGCCTTGACTAGATAGGTCTGTGGGCATATCTGTGTGGCATTGTCATAATTGCTAACTAACATGAGAGCCCAGCCCACTGTGGGTAGTACAATCTCTGTAGAGTGTATAATAAAGCTCCTGAGCATGAGACAGAAAGGTAAGCAGCATTCCACCGTGGTATTTTCTTCAGTTCCTCCTTGAGTTCCTGCCCTGACTTCCCTCAGTGATGATGGACTGTCATCTGTTAGCCAAATAAAGCCCTTCCTCTTAGAGTTGCTTTGGGTTATTGTTTGAGCTTTATTGCTACAGTAAAAACATGTTTTTATATTTTAATCATTGAAATTTGTCAAACTACCTTTTTTGAGTTAACAATAAAAATTGAAGTTCAAGTCAATATTATATGCCATTTATCCTCTAAATAAAAACCTAGTGAGAATATAGAAAGAAAAAAATAAGATTCAGCAAAAATCTGAGATCAAAAAGTACCACTAAAAGTTTCTCTTTACTCTTATCCACCCAGAGTCACAGCCAGAGACGGGAAAGTTTGTGAAAAGCTTTCTTCCCTTTGTGGATATGGAACAGTGCCTGGAGAATCCGTTATCTGTTAACAGAGTCATTTTACTTCATTTTGTTACAGAAAAAAACTCTCTTAAAGCCCAGCATTCTTTTCTGTTGTCATAAGAAGAATATAGTCAAGTCAATGGTTGAAGCTGTTTAATGTTCTTTAGTTATTTTTTATTGCTCTGCTTTGTAGACAAGAAGTTTTAGATTCACTGAGAACTTCAGTTGTGTTCAAGCTTTTTCTCCAACATAGTAGTGTTTCATTTGAACATCTTTTCTTGTGTGTACTATGGCATATGTGTGGAGGTCAGAAGATCACCTTGTGGAGTTGGTTTTCTACTGGGTTCCAAGGATTCAGCTTAGGTTATCAGGCTCAAGTGCCTGTATCTGGTGGGCCATCTTGCTGGCCCAAGTACTTCATTTTACTTCATTAAAAAAACCTGTGAAACTGGAAGAAAAACAAATGTGGATTTGGTTAACTAAAGATCGATTAGTTATTTGAGATCTGTTTATTAAAGTTTTGTTTTTAGATAATATTATGTTTTTTTAGTTGCTAGAATTTTTCCTTGAATGTTTTGTTTCTTGTTGTTTAATAAGTAATACAGTTCTGTGATATAGAAGATGCTAATTATGGCTAGAATAGTATATAATTGTCTTACTGTCATGGATTATCTTGAAGCATTGCTTAGATACAGGAAAAGATTAACAAGTGTGTATTCATTCCAGAAAGGAGGCAAATTTTGAATAACTTACTTAACAAGGGGGGTGCTGCTGAATATATTTCACTGTAAATGCATTAAGTATATTTCAGAGGCAGTAAAAACTACATTATTGTGTTGGGTGTAGTTCGGTGGGAGAACTGTTGCTCAGCATGTATAAAGCCCCAACAACAAAACTAAGGAAAAAAACTCCTCACGTTTAAAAATTCATGTGTATGACATGAGAACTCCTAATTCAAACAAGAAAAAGGTAGAACTGTCAGTGTGCATGCTTGTACATCTACAGAGGAACAGAGAATAGGAAATAAGTGCAGTGTGGCTGCTCACCCCTTTAATCCCAGCACTCAGGAGGCAGAGGCAGGCTGACTTTTGTGAGTTTGAGGCTGGCCTAGTCTACATAGCAAGTTCCAGGCCAGCCAAGGCTAGTAAATATGCATTATCAATAATTATCTGTGGGCTGTTCCACTTTTTATTTAACCTTTTTGTTTTTCAGAACAAGTACACAGCTGTTTAGGTAAGTTTTACTAAATGTAAGTATTAAGATATTGTGCTGATCAAGTAAAAGCACACACTTGAGAGGCCATGAAGGTTGGGCCAGTTTAAGCAGCAAGAGTGGGGTGCAAAAAATGTTACTCCTGCATACTATAGGCTAGGGAGTGGAAAGAAAAACAAGTTTCTGCGAACTTGAAGCTAATTCTGATTACATTTGTAGGTCAAATAACAGGATAGTGGATCTTTCTTTCACAATGACTCTGGAAGACTATGGGCTAGTGAAAATGCGTGAGATCTTTGTATCTGATTCGTCTCAGGTAAATATAGCTGTCATTAGATTCCCAAACTAGGAATGAAGGTGTATATGCATGTGTCACATACACTTCTCTTTCACATCATAGGGTTTGTCTGCTGTGCAGCAGAAGCCATCTTCTTCTCCTCTTACAGCTCCATGTCCTTCTGAGATCCAGATGGAACCTCGAGAGACCTTAGAGTACAAGGCTGCGCTTGAGCTAGAAATGTGGAAAGAGATGCAGGAAGACATATTTGAAAGTCAGGTAGATTGAAATTGTATTCTAAAATCTCTACAACTGGATTTTCTCTCCATGTTCTTGTCTATCTTTGACTATCAACAATATCTTAAGATTATTTTTAATTTTTTTTAGCTATATGTATGCATTTTTGTTGGTGTTGGTGTGTGCACATGAGTGCAGTTGCCCATGGAGAGGAGAAGAGAGCATTGGATCCCCTGGAGTTGTAGTTATAGGTGTTTGTGAGCAGCCTGATGTAGCTGCTGGGAACCAAAGTTGGGTCCACTGTAAGAGCAGTCTGAGCTCTTAATGGCGAGCCCTCTCTACAGCCACACAGAGGGATGTTTCTTACTGGCTTGCTACACATGCCTTTTTTGCCTGCTTTTTTTCTTATAGAACCCCAAGGATGAAGGGATGCCCAAGGATGACACCACCCTGGGTTGGCTCACTCATTAAGAGAATGTCCTACAGGCTTGTGTACAGCCAAATCTTATGAAGGCATTTTTTGTTTTTTGTTTTTTCGAGACAGGGTTTCTCTGTGTAGCTTTGGAGCCTATCCTGACACTCGCTCTGGAGTCCAGGCTGGTTTCGAACTCACAGAGATCCTCCTGCCTCCTGAGTGCTGGGATTAAAGGCATGCGCCACCAACGCCCGTCTGAAGGCAGTTTCTTAACTGAGGTTCCCTCCTCTCAGATGACTTCAGCCTGTGTCAAGTTGAAGTAAAACCATCCATCCCAGAGGACCTAATGCCATTTTCTGGCCTCGGTGGGCACCAGGCATGTGTGTAGTATACAGACAAACATTCAGACAGAACATCCATACACATAAAACAAAACAAAACAAAACAAAACAAAACAAAACAGAATGTTTTAAATGACATTGGTAATCAGTATTAGTTCCTAAACTGAAAACTTCTTTTGCTTATTTGGAATATTTGTCATTTTCAAGTGACTATTTCTTCCTTTTGTAGCTAAAACAGAAAGAATTGGCTCACATGCAGGCTCTTGCAGAAGAATGGAAAAAAAGGGACCGGGAAAGAGAGTCACTAGTGAAGAAAAAGGTAAAGAAAAGGCCTATGTGAAAACTGAGAGAGGAAAAGAAGAGCATTTGTGATAGCTTCTAGGTGCATTACAGAGTCTTTGGAAGGAATAAACTTTTTGGCTCCCAGCATGAGACAGATAGACGAGTAACTAATGAGCCTTGAGCAAAGCCAAAAGAAAAAGACACTTTAAAGTCTCCATTCCTAAGAAATGGCCATTTAAATGGGCCTGCACATGTCTTAAATATTGTCCTCATTTACTTTTGAGCTTTGTATTGCATATTATTGAATTCAAGAGAGCTGGACAGTAGGTTAATGTTTTGAAGTTTTTACTTTTTTATGCTAATGAGTTTTTTAAATGTCAAAGTTTGAAAAATTCAAATGATGAACTAATTTGAGAAATTAATAAAATTGCCACAATGGGACAAATCCAGCTTGTGTCCTTGCTCTCCTCAAAGAAATTGGTTTCAATATCAAGAGGTTAAAATGAAATCAACCATACCAACTAGGACGTAGTGCAGTGGTAGGCACACACATTTAGCATGCACATGGCCTCATGTTCGATCCTCAGCATTGCAAAATACATGACGAAAGCTTCACTAGGTGAGTTTTGGTTTGCTCTTATTTTGGTGTTAAAGATTTTTTTCCGTTGAAAGTTTGATTGGTTTCCATGTATATTAGCATTTCTAGCATCTGAGTCTTGAGAAAGCTGACTGAGGCTGGAGATGTGGCTGTGTTAGAGCACCTACGTAGCAGGCACATGGCATCCTGGGTTCCATCTCCAATACTACAAATAAATGAAATTGGAAATAAAAGCAAATAGATCTTAATGCTGCCTTGTATCCCTCACATTCAAAGGCAGATGTGGAGTCGTCTCTTTCATCCTAAGTACATTTTTGAAAGTAAAGATTTCATTTTGTCTTAAAGTGCTCTATTTTGGAAGCATCTTGTGTCCTAGGAAGCACTAAGATAGATGATTGATCTTAAAAAAAAGTTGCAGACTACAGTAAAATCAAGTGTATATTGGGGTATGGGGGAGACATTTGAGAAGTTCACTGTGTTGTCTTGCAAATTAAGATCGTTTTTTCTTTTTCTGTGTTTTAGGTAGCTGAATACAGTATTCTAGAAGGCAAACTTCAAAAAGCCCTCACTGAGCTAGAGAACCGAGAGCAGCAGCTTGCCAGTGTAGAAGTGGAGGTATCACATCTCTCTGACCTTGGTTCCCTGGTTTGTGTAGTCCATCCCCTTATCTTAATTGTTCTCTGCATAATGTAACAGGCATTACATGGTTATTGTGATTCAGACATGGAGACAATGTGTTAGGATGCTAGGATTCAGCAGAAGAGCTATGTTACTTAACCACTTTTGCTCACCTCTGTAGTAGTGGTGTTACATTAATTTACCATTCTGTGTAAGAATTTTTAGTGTTTTCTCTGCCTGGAGAAGAACAAGTGGGGCATGTTCAGAGGTATATAAACCTGAATGGGTCTCAGAGGGAAAAGAATATCCCTCTTACTCATTAAAGGTTTGATCCCATGTACCTATAATCCTAGTACTCGAGAGGTAGAGGCAGGAGTACAGCCTGGGTTGCATAGCAAAAAAATAAAAAATAAATTGCATCCCAAGACACATGAAAATTTGTTGTAACATTATACATAGTTAATAGTACATTAGGTCTTAACTAAATTACATCCTAGGACTTTTCTATAAAATACAAATGTGTAATTCACATAAATTTTATTAAACTTACAAGCATATAAAGCATAAAAGTAACTACAATTTTCCCATATTGTTTGTATGTCTCTTTTCTATCTGCAATGTTTAAGATCTCATTGATAAATACTCTGACTTTATCATTTACATTTCTGGAGTTTTTAAGTGAGTTAGGTGTATTGGCCTAATTAAATCTATCTTCTAAATGGGTAGGCAGAAATTGGAAACTTCTAGTGTGAAGAAAGAAACTAAGTCCAATTTTCATATAGTAAAAATGAGAATTTTAAGTGGTTAGGACCCTTTCAACTGAATATGTAAGTTGTGTGTGGCTTGTATATTATTAGCATTGAGCCACTGAAAATTAGTATATATAATCATTTAAGTCTAATAACTATAAGAGGGCATGAATTAAGTTTATAGTGTATGCATGTGCGCATGCATTTTGGTACACACATGCACTTGTTTGTGCATGCTGGTGGAGGCCAGAGGACAGCCTTGAGTTGTTCTTAGGAATGAATTCTACAGACTAATGAGCAGTCTGGGCTTGCTGTAGAGCTTCAGGATCTGCCAGTCTCTTCCTTCCCAGCACTGTGCATCACTGTGCTTTCATATATGGGTTCTGGGGTCATGTTCAGGTTACTGTGCTTATGAGGCAACTACGTTGTGGGCTGAACCATCTCGACAAGTCAGTTTATAAGTATTTTGACATTGAGTGATAAATCTAAGGCTAGGAGATGAACACCGTCATGCAGCTAGTGATCTGCTAGCCTCCTAAGGTTGCGTTTCCTTTCAGCTTCAGAGAGAGAGAAAAGAACTGCAGTCAGAACGGGAGCGGAACCTTCAAGAACTTCAGGACTCTATCCGCAGGGCCAAAGATGACTGTGTTCACCAAGTGGATCTGGAGAGGCTGAAGCTGAAGCAACTGGAAGAGGACAAGCACCGGCTTCAGCAGCAGGTGCTTGAGTTACTGGTTCTAGAAACCAAAGTGATGAAACCCACTGTGATTTGGACTGTTGTATTCACTGCAGAGATTCCAATTGAAGTGGGAGTTTTTTTTTTTTTTTTTTTAAGCTAACGCTAAGGGCTGTATTAGTATAATTTTCTTACCCTTAGAACCATTTGTGTGAAACTGTAGGATTCCAAGTAACTTACAATGTAAAGGCTTTTTCTGTAAATCTCCTCTTAGCAATGTAGACATTTACTAGGACCTTAATGCTAGAACTATACCAAAATAATCCAGTGCTTTCTAGAAGCTACATTTTGTAAGACAAGTGTCTGCCTTCTTCTTGCTGCCTCAATTTACAGTCCCTTCATGTGCCCGTCCCTCCAGGCAATTGTTGGGAGTTCCCCATAGCCAGGTCACTTAGGTGGAATGGGCATCTTCATCTCCACATTTGCTGAACTGTACCCACATCAACACTGTCTTTTTTGGTTTTGAATATCCTCTTCTCAACTATTGCCCTCTGCTCCCCCCACTACCCTAACACACACATACTTTCCTCCACCCTCTGGCTTCCTTCTGTGCTGTTCTGCAGCCTTTCTCTTTTCCCTTGTCTAGCCCCTATTAAGCTTCCAGCTTGTCCAAGCTCAGGGCTTACTTCTCCTTCTTCCACATTCTTAGTCAGGGCTTACTTCTACTCTTCCTCCACAGTTATAGTCAAGACCTTTTCTCTGCACTCAAGTCCTCCACTTCAGATTGCTTTTTTGATATCCTTACATGGATATTTTAAAGACATTTTAAAACAGTCTTTCCATTATACTTACCGTGTCATTTGTGTCGATGACAGGTCATCTGAGCCCATGTTGCAGCCAGGTAGTTTTGAAAATTGGGAAGCACGGCATTTTTGAAAACCTTCCCCTGCCTTTTCACCATTCATATGGTGGTGATGAGGGTTACTGGCCCCACAGTCTGATAGTTTCTACCCATCTGTCTGCCTGACCTCATCCCCCACTGTTTACCTCTGCTGTGTACTTTCTGACCACACTGGTCTCCTGTCAGTACACCCTGCTTGTTTTCCCCCACAGGACTCATTGTGTTCTGTTTTCCATGGGCCCTCTAAATTCTATATCCTTCCTTTAATTTTATCAAAATGTCGCTTATCCCAAATATTTCCAAGTCCAGCTCAAGCTTATGTTAAATGTACTTCTGTAATATCACTTTATTTTTCTTTTTCTTTACAATGTACCAGTTCTTCTTTTCATTTAATGATCATTCAATCAGTTTCAGATTGTTGCTCCATAAAAACTGCTTGGTTTATAGCTCTGTCCTGGAGTCCAGCCTGGGTGTTGGCAGTGATAGGGGCTCAATAAATATTTGTAGAAAAGGGAGAGCAAAGATCAGGCTGTTTAAAATTCAGCTTATCTGTCTTGAAAAATTTCAGTGCAGATTAGATGTGTATGATGAATGCTTCAGGGCCTTCTGTCATGAATAGTTTCCATAGTAGCTCAAGGTTCTCTCACCCACATTGTTTACATGGTTGTAAATATTAATTTGGTTTTTGCTGTGGGTCTCATTTAACATACAAAAATAGGTATTATCATGGGACTCACCATTAGTAGTGCTTTTCTTTCAGCTTGAGCAAAGGTATCATGGAGTCAAAGGAGTACTTGGGACACACACCTCCATCCCCAATCACATCCACACCATCCCAAGATGAGGCCACTGAGTTACAGCTCTGTAGCAAGGGCCTTGGTGACAATTTGTATTTTGGAAAAATTATCCAAGGCACATTTTTATTCTTGATGCACAGTTTTAATCAGGAGAGAGACAGATGAATTTTCCAGTTTTCTCAAGGAGCAGAAGCAAAGTCCTTAACATGTACATATCACATTTTAGGCATAAGAGAAATTTGGGGCCGTTACACTGACATGGTTTCATATATTAAATATGCTATTCTAATTAGACTGGTAGAAGAGACCGTTGAACACAAAGAGAACTGATGAAGATAAAAGTATCTGTGTGCAAATAGGTAAAAGCAGGTACCGGAACTCAGTGATAGATGTCTTCCCAATGACAGAGTCCACTGTGCCCTAACAGCTTTTACCTTTTCAACTGGATTGTAATGGCAATAATTGCATATGGCAATGTCCCTGAATGGTGAAGAACCAAATATACTATTACTGTATTTCCTGCTTAAAATATAAAAGTGGGGGCTAGGAAATTGGCTTGGTCAGAGAAGGTACTGGCCGAGCAAACATCTGGACCTGAGTTGGGATCCAACTAGCTATGTAAAAAGCTGGGCATGGTGACATGTGCCTACAATCCCAGCACTGGGAGGTAGCCACAGGAGGCTCCCTGGGGCTTGCTGCTCAGCCCATCCATCAGTCAGTCTGCGAGTGCTTCAGGTCAATGAGACAGAGACCTCCTTTCAGAGTAGAAGGTGGAGAGTAGGTGGGAGAGATTCTGATGTTGACTTCCGGCAGCCACACATGTGTGTGTACAGACACATCAAACACGCAAAGCAAAGGTATTTTAAAAAGTGAGATCACTTCAGAATGGTTTCTGCTGATTTTGGAAAACTGAATATTCGGAAACTTGTCATGTAGGGAGCAGCAGCTTCTTTTAAAGGTTACAAGTGTTGCATAACTTTACAGAGTCCCTGTGCTCAGCCAAATGAACATCTTTCTGTCCTCTGTTAAGTACTTATAATTAAGCCCCCCTCCATCCCCCATAACTTAGAAGGTATTCTGTACTTTCATCAGTTCTGCAGGGTCAGGAGCTTCTGCTCCTGATTACCCCTTGGGTCTTTGGGATTCCTTCAGGAGTTTAGCCCTTTGATCCTTGACTTTTTAACCTATTTTTTTAAAAAAAAAAAAAAAAAAAATTTTTTTTTTAACCTTTTTTTTTAAAAAAAAAAAAAAAAAAAAGAAAGAAGGCTTTTTTTGTTTGTTGAATTCTTAAGTACTGATTGTTTTCTTTTTCCTTCTTTTGTGTGCTTTCCATATGTTCTACTGTGACATGTTTTTGGATAATAATGACACTGTTGATCCCAAGTTGTACAGTGTCAAGATTGGCTCATGATTGCTTTCAAACAGCTACATGTAATGGCTCTAATATACTTTCTCTTTACATACAGCTTAATGATGCTGAGAAAAAGTATAAGATTTTAGAAAAAGAGTTCCTCCAATTCAAAGATCAGCAAAGCAACAAACCAGAAATACGGCTGCAGTCGGAAATAAATCTCCTCACCCTGGAAAAGGTACCTATGTCAACCCCTGTCAGCATAACTAGCTCCAGTGACCAATTTTAAAAGTCACTAATAATATGTGTGTCTATATTGCTGTGCTGCACTCTGCAGAGAACGTAAGTTGTGTGACAGGAGTTCATTTGGTTGTGTCTACATGAATAGAATGTTGAGTTGTGAACAGAACTGACCACCATAGGAATAAAGGAATTAAAAAAAAACTGTCGGGGCTGGGCAGTGGTGGTGCATGCTTTTAATCCTAGCCCTTGGGAGGCAGAGGCAGGCAGATCTCCGTGAGTTCCAAGCCAGCCAGGGCTACACAGAGAAACTGTCTCAAAAAAACAAACAAAAAGCTGTTTGAAGGTGAAAAGAACCAGATTTAAAATATGAGTAGGTGTGTTTAGAAGCAAGTTACAGCCAGTGTCCTGTCCCAGTTTACTCAAGGTGCCCCTACTGTTGCCATATCTGGGATCTCAAATCCTCTGTTTCTAGTGTTGACCTTTCAGTGTTGTGGTGGTCCTTGTGATGGTTCTGTTTCTCTACTTTCTGGACTCAATGTCCTGCACAGAAGCACTCAGAGCAGAGACCCACATTCCCTAGCCTTTAGCTTAGAGAAGGCATATTCATTCTACTTTGTTTTCTGTGGTTCAGATGCGATCATGCCTGCCATTCATATTGAAATTCCCCCAAAAACAGAATGTGCAGTGGTTAGGCATTGCAGAGTATGAAGTCAGGATGCCATCATGACACAGTGGGAGAAGGTGCCTGTTACCCAGCCTGATGACCTGTGTTCAAGCTCTAGGAGGGACAGAAATGCCTACTGCAAGCTTTCCTTTAGCTTCCACATGTGGGTTCTGGTATTCACCTGGGCGCACTGTGTGTGGGTGCATGTGCACACACAGTCACACACACACAATTTTATAAGATTGAGCTTTACTCTGTGTGTGTGTGTGTGTGTGTGTGTGTGTGTGTGTGTGTGTGTGTGTGTGTATGTGTATGTAGATACACATATATATATTTGCATGAGTGTATGCCACTTATGTGCAGGTACCCAGAGAAGTCATAGAGGGCATCTGATCCCTTAGAGCTGGAGTTACAGGTGCTAGGAACTGTACTCAGATTCTCTGGAAGAGCCATAAGTGCTCTTAACTGCTGAGCCATCTCTCCAGCCCCATAAAATATTCTTTAAAAAGTGTGAATATCCAACAGCCATCCAAAGGTGGGCATATGCGTTGAGATCTGAGAAGAGGAGGAAACAGCAATGCAGAGAACTGTGAGAAGTTGTCCAGGGAGTCCTTCAGAGGCACTGAGGCAAGAATTAGAATTCACAGACGGCCAGCCTAGAGTATATCATGTACCAGGTAGGTTTAAAACACTGGCTTTTAAAGCCATGGCAAGGGAATTAGGTTTTGCTCTGAGTCATTCATAATGGCAGTTACCATCTTGAACACATAACTATGTGACTGTCCCACATTCTGACTCGGCCACTTAGTTGTGTCATAGTTGATAGCTTCTTCTATTTATTTCACATTTTTTAAGCAGGGGTAATAAAATGAGCAAAATGCTTAATGTAGAACCTGAGGCATTTTCTCTTTTATTTAAACTTTGTCTTTTAACATTGCTGTTACTTTCTATGTTATATTTTATGTTTGTAACTAAAATTGACAACTTTAAAATTGATGAGGGATGGAATGCAATCAAAGAATGCATGGGCCATGTAGAGGGTATAAAGTAAATTTTTCTTCTAGTTTGAATTTCATCATAGTTTTTCTTTTCTTTGATGGTGAAAGAGCAAAACCCTCAATAAAGCTCCATTATGACTGTTTTAACTGTAGACAGAGTTCGCTGAGATGGAGAGTTTGTGACTAGGCAAATGTCCGAGTGGCTCCCTGAAACTAGCTTCCTGTTTTTATTTGTGAATTAAGTAGAATAAATGATTTTACTTAAAATGGAAACAAAATTTAAATATTTTAAAAACAACAAGCATAAAACCCTTGAATAGTATCCCATTGTTTACTTTTAAGTAGTAGAGTAACGGATCTTTACATTTTTTGAAAAGAAATCCAACTATTGTTTAAGAGGATATGAACAGGCCTGATGTGGTGGCGCACGCCTTTAATGCCAGCACTCAAGAGGCAGAGGCAGGTGGATCTGTGAGTTTGAGGCCAGCCCAGTCTACAGAATGAGTCAGAGTTACATACTTGAGACCTTTTCTTCTTTTTTTAAAAAGGAGGATATGCCCTTCCTCTTTAAAGAAAGACCTGAATATAATGACCTACTAAAAAGCTGTGTCTTGAGTGCCTTTGAGTAGCAATTCTGAACTGTTTGCTCTCATGACCCTTTCATACATCACAGGAAAAGGATATATCTCTTATCTATAGATAAAAGTGTTATTGATTAGAGAACTGCTGGCTTAAAAAATAAAACTAGAAGTATATTGAAATATTTATTCATTTAAAATATAAAACCCAAGGCAAGATGGCTAGGTAGCTAAAGGTGCATGCTACCAAGCTCTACAGCCTGAGTTGGACCCTTGGAATCCTGTGGAAGGAAAGAAACAAGTCCCCTGAGTTTTGTTTTTGAGATAACTGAAGTATGAGAATCGTCAAAATGAGAGTCTGACCTCAGGTTTCAGGAGGTCAAAATTACTTTCACAATAATGTTAAGACATCACTGTCTTTGTTTCATTCCTTGATGAGTGGGTTTTGGGGAGGGGTTGTACATGTGAAGGCAGGTGATCTCTGAATTTGAGGCCAGCCTGGCCTACAGAGTGAGTTCCAGGATAGGCTCCAAAGCTACACATAGAAACCCTGTTTAAAGAGCACACACACACAAAAGAGTACCAGGAATGTAATGAGAGAAATGGTCTGTGAACTGTCTCTAGTAGAACAAAGGCATGCTTCCAGCATGTTTTAAGTGTACAGTAGAACAACTTTTTAGCTTTTTTGGGAAATTCCTTGTAACTCTTTTGGGAACCAGAAGAGGGCAGTGTCTTATTCTGAAATGGTAACAGATAAGAGCATGGAAATGCCAGCCAGTGAAACTGTCTGAACTGGCTTACCAGAGTCTGAGGAAGAGCTTGTTTTTGTTGTTGTTGTCTTTCCTTGTCTTGCCTTTCCTTTCCTTTTCTCTTTTTCTTTTTTTTTTAAGACATGCACTATGGTAACTATGGCTGACTTTGAATTTAGAGAGAGATACTGCCTGCCTTTGCCCTGTTAGTGTTGAAATTAAAGGTGTATGACACCTTGCCTACCTACCTGTTCTTACTATAACTTCTATCTATTTTCACCAAAAGAGTCTAAAATTAACACAAAGATAAACTTTTACCAAGTAATTCTTGATTTATTTTATTATTACGGAAGTAAATAGTTTACTGCTATGTGTGCCTGTGTGAGTGCAGGCACTTGAATGCCTTGATGTGTGTGTGGATGTCAGAGGACAACTTTTGCAAGTTGGTTCTCTCCATCCACTGTGAGTTCCAAAGTATTGCTCTCAACTTTATCAGGTTTGTGCTGCAAGCACTTCTACCCTCTGAGCCATCTCGGCACCTGTACCCCACCCACTTTTTTCACTGTTTTGAAATCCAGTCTTCTACTTTACCTCAAGATGGTCCAGCACTCACTTTATAGCCTAGACTGGCCCCAAACTTGGGAATGGTCATCTGGGTGCTGAAATTACAGATGTGAGCCATAGTACCCAAGTATGTGAGTTTTCTTTAACCTAGAAAGAAAATATTATTTACATAGTTCTTAAATGGTTGGGACAGAGAGACCCTGTCTCAAGAAGAAAAGAAAAGAAAAGAAACCTGAAATATGGAAAGCATATATTTTAGTAGGGCATACAGAGTTTGAAAAATCAACATAGTAAAAGAATATCAGCATTTTTAATCATGCTAAAATTTGTGTCATATTTAAGAATATTTTGGTATCTTGTGTGTCACTACTTTTAGAACAAATAGGAAAGATGGCAGAAAGTGAAAGCATGCTTTTCTTTGGGTGATTCACTTTTAAACACTGTTGCATTGTTTCAGAGATGACTTGGAGTAGTAAAAGACCATGACTAATCTAATCCAAAGGAAACCATTTGGTGTTTCATATGTAATAGATTCAAGGCAGCCTTATATAGAGGTAAAGTCTGAGGTGAACTTTATGATTGAGGCAAGCAGAAGAAAAAACAAGAAAAGAATTGGTAGGCCAGGAAGCTGGGTGAGGAGGTTTGCAAGGCACAGGGACACAAATATGGCTGGGCACTGGGGTTTCCTATGTAAAATCCTGAAGTAGGTTGAGCAAGAAGTACAGAAATTACACTTTGGATCCTAGGCAAATAGCTGTAATAAATTTTTCAGTAAAGAGTGAATTGATAGCAGTTTGCAGGACTTGCAGACATATTTGAAACTGGGATGATACAAGACACTTTCATAGTCAAAGTGAGAAGAGAAGAGCTTGGGCTGCACACATGGCAACAGAAACAGAAAGTTCAAGGGAAAAATAGGTAGCTAATCGTGAGGAGTTTGACCTGGGAATGGACTAAAGACAAAGAGAATGCTGTGCCTTTGATAGAGGAATCAGGAAACTTGTCCTTCTGCAATCAGGGTTGACTTAGGTCCTGAGCTATCTCATTTCAGGGGCATTTAACTTAGCTTATGGTGTGTCACTTCAGTCATGGGACAATGAAACTCTAAATAAAATTACAAGCCAAGGATGGTAGTGCACACCTGTAGTGCCAGCACTGTTAGTGCAAGGGGTCAAGAATTCAAAGTCAGTTGATGCCAGAAACCACTAACAATAAGGACTTTTAAGTTGACTTTTGTATACCCTGAAATTAACAATTTGGAAATCTAAGATTGTGTGCTCTAGGAATGAGATAGATGTTCTCCCAGCCACATGCACATATACACACACCTCAGCATTATGGCTGCCTAACCAAGACCATAACAAAGGCAGTATAAATAGACATGCTAACTTGGTAGCGGGGGATCTCACTGGGTCCTACCCCTAAGCAAAGAACAATAGGCACCAAGAGACTGATGAGAAAGGGAGAGATAGCTTTTCCCAGGGATTTTTCCCAAAATGGTTCTTCAATACAAAGTAGTCAGCCATAGAACATATACATACAAGCAACATTAAATGGATTCAGCTGCTTGTTTTATATATCTGTGCATGCCTACATACATAATACACACACACACACACACACAAATAATAAAGAAAAGAAAAAGAGGTCCTGAGTTTGAGAGGGAGTGGAGGGGACATGGGAGGAATTAGAGGGAGGAAAGGGAAGAGAGAAGTATTGTAATTATATTTTATTTATAGTAAATAATAAAACTAAATAAAACCCAAAAGTTTTTGGCTACATGTATTATCCTAGGACTTGGGTCTATATAATTCTTTAGAATCACAAGCACCATATCCTTCAAAAAAAAAAAAAAAGTTAGGGATTATTGGTCAGAATGGATTGGTGCCTCAGATTTACCAGTAAGTTTTTAGAAATAAACATATGCCAAATGACAGGTGTTTTAAATTAGTGTATATAACTATTAAAGTATGAATTATTTTTATATTTATGCAAAACTGATAGAACTGCCTAGTCCTTACTGTTGGAGTAGGTCCATGGCCCTCATCCTTGGTCTGGTCCAGACCTTGTCCAGGCCCCATATACATGCTCTCAGAGACTGTCTCTGCTCCTCTGAGGTATGGCTTGTTGTTAAATTACCAAGTGAAGTATATGAATCACTGGGCATAAGTGGGGGGATTATCTCCAGTAATCTCAGCAATATCATTCAGCTCAAGATGCTTGAGTCTATTTGTGAAATGTCAACATATCTGAATCCAAGCACTAGGGATTTGTAAAGTAAAAAGACCTCCACTCCAAGTAGTCATATATAACTGCAGGGAATGTTCTGGTCCTTTGTGACAGGGACTTGGCAGTCTGCTTTTCCTGTCATTTGAGTTTGCTCTGAATCTTCTAACATTAGACTTTTTATAGTCTTCATTTTTGTTTTCTCCTAAAATATTAGGAGTTGTATGTATGAGAAAAACTAAACTTGATTTTTTAAAAAATCAGCTAGTTCAGAGTAGGCAGTGTTTTACTGTAATTCAAGCAGATTATTATATTATCACTAAATAGTAAAACTGTCTGCTAGCTACATGAATTTGCTTGGTACATGATTTTAAGCACTGAGTGAGTACATTCCAGAACATAGCCAAGTTGGCTTTAGTTCATGCACAATAGATTGCCTGCTGCAAGCATAAATAACCAGATTTTTAATTTAATCACGTTAGTGTTTTTCTTTATATATTTCAGGAAAGATAGAAAATAAAAGTGAGATGTGTGTTATTAAGGAACATTATTTTTTTCTTCCTCTTGGGTTTATTTTAACATTCTTAAAATATTTTTACATTTTTGACTTTGCATCTCTTAGTAATTTGCTTTCTGATAAAACAGTGCACCATTTCCAGGGTTCTATGGTTTTGCCAAAAGTTAAGAAAGTATCTTCCCAGCTCTCCTTATTACAGGACAGAATTCCACCTAATCATGGGCCTCACAAGGAAAATCAGCCTACTGAGATTAGAGCGTCAGCGAACGCGGAATGTTAACAGTTAGAGCTGTCTTTTGTTAAAAAATGAATGTATTTTTCACTCTGTGTAATATACACATTTAAATACATTTATAGTAACTGTCTGGAGGTTAAGACTAATTCAGTTCTTTTTTGTCTCGCCTGCAAGGCAATAAAAATAATACTATATTTTAAACAAGAAAATGTTCATGTGCCATAATATTTATAGTAAATTATGTAACAGCTTTAGACTATGTCATATGTCACACTGTATAAACTCTTTTCTTAAGCCCGACTCTTTGTATATATTATCTTTCAGTGATTGCACACAGTGGTATAGTGTTTCACTTGATATGATTTTAATCACTGTTAGGTTGAACTTGAAAGAAAGTTGGAATCTGCAACCAAGTCTAAACTACATTACAAGCAGCAGTGGGGACGAGCTTTGAAAGAACTTGCCAGACTCAAGCAGGTATGTGGTTGAGAGCGGACTCTGTCTCCCTTCACTGCTTTATATGTTTCCTGTTTGACATTGTATGTTAGAGGTCCACAGTGGCCTCTCCAGTGCCGTGGTTGAAGATCAAGACCGTTTGGGTTTGTTTTTTAATGTGTTGTATGCAGAATTCTCTTTTCATAATTAAAAGCTGCTTTTTTATATTTTTTAGTTTTAGTTGTCAGCTATCTTGTTGGAAACACAACTACTTCTTCCCTTAGAACTCATTTTTCATTAGGACTTCACTGAAGGGGACAATTTGGGTATAAACTAAATTTACTATTTAACATTTGAGAGCACATTTTAAAATGATTTTTGTAGGAAGACACAATTACTCAACAATGAAAGCTGTCATAGGGGAGTTTTGCATAATTTTAGGTTTAAAAGACTTGTTAGTTTTCTGAAAATCCTTGTTGACATTTTCCCTTCCTAGACAAGAATGTTATTTTCATGAGAAATTTATCTTAATTTGGGCCATAGTTTTTCCAAATGATTAAGATTCAAGAGAATATGAATGAGACTTATTTTGAATATAATTTATTGGACCTATTAAAAGATCATGAATGGTTAATATACTCTAAAAATATGTGAGCTTTATTTCTGAATGAAATGTAGTAGTATATAATGTCTTTCAGATTTATATAGTTTTTAGAATGTTTCCATAACAGTACATCAAATACCATTCAATATTTTTGTGGTATTATGCTAATACTGATGATCTTTTTTAGAGTACTACCAGACTGTATGGGAATTACAGAGTAGTAGACCATGTATGCCAGTGGAACTTGTAGCTGTGTTCAGATTTATGCATTACAGGTAGATATCAAAGTATAGATAATACACAGAGTGGATAAACTCCAAGTTGTGTAGCCTTTATTTGAAATTGTTTGGATCAGAAACATTTTAGATTTCAGAATTTGTTCATATTTTATGATATTTGCATAAGTATAAATGCAAAATCTACTTGTGTTTCAGTTGTACATTAATTATATAGTTACGAGGTATTTTTTTTCTTTTATTATAGTGTTTTTAAGTATGCATATGCCTGTCTCCTGATCACAGTAGTCCCATCATGCATGCTAGTGCTCAAAAAGTTTTGGATTTTAGAGCATTTTAGATTTTTCATTTTCAAATTAGCAATATATTATTATTATTTTGGTTTTTTCGAGACAGGGTTTCTCTGTATTACTTTGTAGGCTATCCTGGCACTCTTTCTGTAGACCAGCCTCTGCCTCCCGAGTTCTAGGATTAAAGGCATGAGTCACCGTTGCCCAGCTGCAATGTATTATTTTAATGTTGGCAGAACTAGTGTGGGCATTTTGCATAGTAGTAAGATCCTCCTAAACTCAAGACACTATATTCAGTGTATATACATAAATACAATGTGGACCTAGCCCTCAGGGAACTGAGAATTCGGGAATAAGGAAGAAATAGTTGTAACTGTTGCATGAGCACTGTACAGAAGAAAAAATTGTTAGTTACAGCTTAGGGATGGTGTCTGGCCTCAGAAGGATAGTGTTTCAGATGGACCCCTAAAGATGAGTTATTAGGATAGTAATAGCAAAACTGGTTGTGACAGAGCAAAGTAGTAGTTGCCATAGTGACTACAATAGCAATTGCAAAGAATCAAGAAGTAGAGGAGGGCCCATTTTAAAGGACACTTCCAGTAACAAAGCTTGAAACTCAAATTGTAGCAATGGAAATGTAACAGGAAGATTCGGTGAAAGATGATGCAAGGGTTCAGACATAGATTCTGGAAAGGTTTTTCAGCTTGGGAAATCTCAGATCATTTTCATTTTTAATTCTAAAATCCCTGGATATCAGATCATAGTCCCATTTTACAGATGAAGAAATGAGACTGTTGTCGTGTATGCTCACAGAGGTACTACATGCTAAAACTGAGACTGAAGTCCAAGCTCTTTCCTGTTAGTTTCGGTGCATAGATGACAAGGGTTTCCTGAAGCAGAAGTCATGAGTTGGCATATCCTAGCAGGAAAAAAAAAAAAAAAAAGAGTCATCATCTGTTAGCGAGAGCAGCTCTGAGGAAAACTGTCTTTGAGGAAGAAGCGGCTGGACTTCATAAAGTCAGGATGCCAAGATACTTAGGCAGCAGGATACTTAGGTGGAAGGTAGTAGGGAGAAGGCCTTGTGGCACAGGACTCATGGGGAGAGATGAGCGGAGTAGTTAAGTAACATGCTGCTTCCCAAAGGGCTTCTTCCAGAGCTGTTCCAGGCTTCCTTGGAAGTCACAGTGCTGCTGGGGGATGATGGGCATAAGCCACCACATCAGGCTGAAGGAGGTTGTTGTCTGTTTTGTTTTTGTTTTTGAGACAGGGTTTCTCTGTGTAGGCTTGGCTGTCCTGGCACTCGCTCTCACTCTGTAGACCAAGCTGACCTCAAACTCAGAGATCCACCTGTCCGTGCTGGGATTAAAGGTATGCTAACTGAAGTCATTGTTAAATTCTGCTTTAACATCTAAATGCCTGGCTCTTCTTTCCTATGTGAGCTAGTGCGCATTGCCTACCGTTCCAGCACTAGGGAGGGGAAAGCAGGAGAGCAAGATTTCAAGGTTTTCCTTGACTCTATTACTATTCCCAGGTCAGCCCAGAAAGGTGGAGGAGTGGGGTTGGTCAGAGGGTCCATGCTTGCTGAGCAAGTTTGAGGACCTGAACTTGAACACCAGCCCCCATCTGAGAAGGGCCAGGTGCTACAGGGCGCCAGTTAGCCCGGCACTGGGGAAGCTCATAGAGGAAGGGTGCAGTGCTTCTGGCCAGCTAGTCTAGCCAAATTGGCAAGCTCCAGGTTCACTTTGAGAGACTCTGTCCCAAAGAATAAGATAGAGAATGATTGAGGAAGACACTGGTGTCAACCTCTGGCCTTCACAGGCATGCATGGAAACACACTCTAAAAAAGGAACAAAAATGAAGCCAAAGATTATGAAATCTTCCCACCCCCAAAATTCCTCTTAGCTAATCCTACAGCCTCATATTTTGGTATCTTCTAGAACTTCCCATTTTACTCTATTTTCTATTTGTTTTTTTTCTTCCTGTGTGTTTTCACTCTCTGGCTTAAAAAATGGCAAAATAATTTTTATTATTTGTTCCTAATAAAAGAGGATATCATTCTCAGTTTCTTTCTCTTGAGTTGCTGTAAATTTATTAAGGAAAGAAAACTTGAATACGTATTTCTCCAAAACTTAGCCCATTGGAGAAACTGAAAGCAGCAGTCTCTGGGCTGGGGAGAGGGCCCAGTGGGGAAGCACACCCCGTCTGTATGTCAGCACCCATAGGAAAAGCTGGCATGGCTGTGTGTGCCAGAACCCCAGCTTTGGTAGGAGAAGACAAGTCCATCCTGGGAGCTTCCTGACCAGCAAGACTTAACCAAAACAGTGAATTCTGCTGGTTCAGTGACATACCCTGTCTCATCGTATGTGGCAAATAGCACCAGAGGAAGAGAGCCAGTGCCCTGCTCTGGCCTCTACATGTGTGTGCATAGGCATGGCTATCTACTCGAATGTATGCATCTCACATAGCAAATATATACACAATAAATATTAGTTTAAAAATAGCAGTCTCTGAGTGAGTGCAATGTGTTTAGTACTTTCTCAGTTTAGAATAATTTTATTCCTTATCCTGTAAACTTTCTGCTTTAGAAACAATATTATAAACAACTTTTGAGGTCACTAGGAACCTTTGATGTTTTGCAGACCATACTGAAATGCAGTAATTTAAGAAAAGCAATAGTCCTTGGGGTCTTCATAGTGAATTATGCTGTGCCACTAACTGTTTTTGGAAGATTAAAATTAGTAACATCATTAAATTGGCACATTTCACATGTGTGAAAATTACTTCTAATTTTCCCTAAAACTCTTTATTAAAAACACATTTATTTTGTGTTTGAATGTAAAATTGGAAGTGTCTCTCTGCTTTTGTTCAGAGAATTGTTTGTGCAACTTTTCTGTTTAAATTGGATTAGTACCATGTTAATTTTACATTGCCTCTAGTGAATAGCCACGAGGCTATAATCTCTGCCAGTAATTTGTCACATCAAATCCCTCTGGAGGGCCATAGAAAACATTCGTGTAGTACGGATTAGACGGTGAAAGCCATATCTTAGATTGTTAATAAATGTTAATGACGAAACCCAGCTGGTAAGGCTTGGAAATAAGATCTAATGCTCCGTGCCCATTGCCAGAAAAATGTTTAAAGAGAGAGTCCCATTACTCAGAGCTGACCTAGTAGAGTCAATTTATGAATTAAAAAATTGTAACCTTCTACTTGTCTAGAAGAAAACTTTCCTTCTTATACTCAGCCTCAATCCAAGTTGTGAGTTTTCTAAAAAAATTTTTTTAGTAATTGATGGCAATAGATGTAACCAGTAAATAAATATGACATGAAATGAGTCCTCATTTGAAAACAAGGGGTTTGGTATCTTGGGACATTAGGAGTACTAGCTTGATATACAGGGCCAGTTTAGTCTCTTTTTTTCCTCTTTGTGAAAATATGCTGTAGAACTATTTTTAGGCAGGACCTAAGTAACTGCTTGAATACCTAAGATTGTCTGCATTGATCTTCATGTTCTAAATGATAACATCACCGAAACCACTTCCAGAATGTCGATCTGTAAGCAGAATAAAAGCTGCTATTGTTTAAAAATTAGTGCATTGTTGTTATGAAATATGAATTGGTCATAAAAATTGAACATTTTCACTGTGTTACATATTTGAAACTCTTACATGTTTGTTCCCAGGACAGGAAGCAGAGCTAAGATTTTCTTTAGTAGCACGTGGGTCCTTTACCATATTTGTGCACAGTAGATGTGTTTAAACGAGCCAGACTATTTAGTTAAAGCAACGCAGACTTCATCGGCTGACATCAGCACTATCTTGTCCAGCCTCCCGCGTATCCACTCGGAGTAATTAATTTGATTAATTTATAAGTAATTTAGCCAAGGATGGGGATGTAAATCTTTGTTTAAGA